TTGGATGCTGCTCATGGAATTACAGGACTTAATGTTTGCCCTGCTTGTTTTGTTCACATTCTTTTGTATCCTCCATTTATAACTTCTGGAATGGAAATGTTCATATTGTGCCACTTAATGTTGGAAGTGTTTAACTTCCTTTGTATTTGTACAGGGGCTCACAGCTAATAGTTTGCCTTATATCTCAGAGCAGACTTGAGACTCAAACTTTTCAGCAATGTTGAAACTTTTAGGACTTTGGCAACTCGTAGAGATAGATTAAATGTCCTTTGCAAAAGGAATGTATGTGAGTCTTTGGGGGGCCGGAGGTGGAATGTTACAGTTTGTGTCTAAATGTCCTCCCAAAGCCTTATATAGTCATGCAGGACAGGATTTTCAAAGGTAGATGAATCTAGAATTGCTGATTGATTCATGGTTCAATGCTAGGTTTAAAGGTGTGAGTGTTACACTTGCCCTAGGGTAGCCTGCTTAAAATATAAGTGACAGAAAGAGGGTCTCCCCCCACCATTGCTTTTGCTGTCTTCTGCTGCCATGGACTGTTGCCCCTCTGCCATGTGCCACCCTGCCTTGGAGTCAGAGGATTACAGACTGAAACCTCTATAAATTGAGCTAAATAAACCTTCCCTCTAACTCTGGGTATTGGGTATTTTGTCTCAGCAATGAGAGAAAAGTAGCTAATACACAGTTTGTGCTGTCTTCTTCAAACAACTATTCCAGTGATCTCAAGCTTCCCTTCACCTGAATGAAATGGCCATTCTTAAAGAACAACTGCTGATAAGTTGCAGAAGAGGCAGTGGTCTAAAACAGTAATATCACATAGTGCTATTGGACAAATTGACAGTGCATGTGCTAATGACTTGTTGGCTAATAAACTTGTTCTTCTGGGTGGTTTAGAAGATGATCTTAAAAAGAAATGGATCTATAGCATAGAAGCTCATTTCTTTAGACATCTAAAATTTTGACAAGTTTTGTAGCCATGAATTCTAAGTTTGTGATGCTAACTACACAGTTCCATCAGCAAGAGGAGAATCTTCTCAATCTGATAGAGAGAAATATTCATGTCTTCAAATTCATTGTCACTCATCCTCATGAAGTTCTAACCTGATTGTATCATAATTATGGTTTTTAGGCCAGTGTGCATGCTTCTATATGTTATCTAAAACTAAATGTGATACAAACACTAGGTGATAGAAAATGCATGTTATCCAGATTCTGCTAGTTTTATCTTATGTCTGAAAACTTTGGCATTCATCCCAGCACCTACCATGGATGGATTTTGAGAGAACATGGAAACTTGTGTAGCTGTATGGAGTAGAATTAATGTGGCAGTGTAGCAACCAGCTGTAACTCTTGAGGTTCTTGGGGTGAAGGACCATGAAAGGATGAGAAAATAAAGAAGAGACAAAGCTGGGGTCAGGTGGAGTCCTTATCCTTCTAATAGGAGGAAAGGAACTGTCCCTTCACTGCAGGGGCCTTTATACCGCAACTTAATATATGATACCCGCATTGTCCTAGCAACCCACTGCTCAGATTGTCTTAGGGCTAGGTGTTTTTGGGCTGAAGCAGCTTCTTTACATGACTTTGCCAGGGCGCTCTTTGTTCTTGGGATGGTCATGCTCTAGCCTTGCATGTGTGGTCAATTTCCAGCTTTAATGGCTCCCAACACAGCAAGTGCTTTCCTTCCAGGAGCTGAATCCATAAATGGCAACAGACAGTAATAGGGAAAATTGGAAAAAAGTGTTTAAGATGGCGGCCTATTGGAAGTGTCTATGAAGTCATCAGTTAAAAGAATACAGCAGCTGGAATACTAGATTAAATGTGGCTAACCTTATTGAATCTAGGCTGACATGTCTATCTAGAATTCATCTATCACTGTCATTGATGAAGGGTATGTATGGTATTGAAATCTTCCTGAATTTCATGCATCCTTGACCCTCAGGGTCAGCATTATCAACCAGAAGCTGACAGATGATAAGGTTACTCATTTTTTAAAAAGTACAAATACTCTTGGGACACCCAGAGAAACCCAAAAGCACTACTACTGAGCTCTAGGCTATAGAGATTTTAAAACTACAGTACAACTCAGGGCATTTAGTTTTCATCCATGTGCTATGTATCACATGTGACATGTGATACAAATTCACAGAACCAAAGCCTAAGCTGGTTTAATGGTTGCATTTCATATGTCTTCCCCATTCCCCCTAAACCCCTTAGGGGTTTATGAGCTTTCAAGCAAATAAAATTATTTTAGTGTGGATAAAATGAAAATGTAAGGCACAAACTGGGACAAAATATCCAAAAACCATACCTAACAAAGGATTGATAATCCAAAATTCACACAGAACTCAACAAAAAGAAAACAAACCATCCAATTAAAAAAAAAATCGGCCAACACCAGGCATGGTAATGCACACCTGTAATCCCAGTATTCCAGGAAGCTGGGGCAGAAGGATCACAAGTTTGAACCCAGACTGGGCAACTTAGAAACTTAAGGAGACCTTACCTCAAAATAAAAAACAAAAATGACTGGGGTTATAGCTCAGTGTAACTAACACACCACAGTCAGTCAATCAGTTTATTCATTCAATAAAATGGACTGAAGATTTGAAAAGACATCTCACTATAGAAAATATACAGGTGGCAAATAAATACATGAAATGAACTGCAGAATAAAACAACAGCAAGATACCACCAGACACTATTAGCAAGGCTACCATTTAAAATACAATACTAAATGCTGGCAGTGATGTGGGGTTATCTACACATTACTGATGGTAATGCAAAACGGAACAGTCACTTTGGAAAACACTCTGGCAGTTTTGGGGGTTTTTATTTAAAATATAGCTATTATCCAGGAATCATGCTCCTAGATATTTACCCAAATGACCTAAAAAACTTACGTACATACCAAAACCTGTTCATGAATATTTATTTTATCTTTATTCTTAAGTGCTCCAAAATGGAAGCAACCAAGATATCCCTCAAAAAATGAGTAGAGAACTGGTGATGTAGCTCATGGTAGAATACTTTACTAGCATGCATGAGGCCCAGCACTAAAAAAACAAAAGGTGACCAGATGAGTTGTGATACATACATACAATTTGAAATATTATTTAGCAATACCAAGAGGTAAGCTGTCAAGCCACAAAAAAGACAGAGGAAATGTAATATGCACTGCATATTGAAAGAACTTAATCTGAAAAGTACATGCTGTATGATTGCAGCTGTATGACACAGTGGCAAAGGCAAATCTGTGAATACATTTTAATTGCCAGAGGTTTAGGGGGGATGGGAAAGACATAAAGCAAAAGAGATTTCTTTATGACAATGAAACTATTCTGTATGATATTGTAATGCTGAATCCATAACATCCATTTGTCAAAACCCGTAGATCCACGTAACACAAAGAAAGACCCTGAGGCAAAGCATGGATTATAGCTAATAATATATCAATATTGGTTCATCAGATATACTACACAAATGTAACAAGTTAATAATTGGGGATATATGGATCACTACTACTAGATTTCTTTTCTGTAAACATAAACCTTCCCTAAAAACATAGTCTATTATTTGAAAAAGATTTTAAAGATAATAAAAAATGAAACAGATCACTTTCATAATTCTGACACCCAAAGACAAGTGTCATAAAACATTGATATTAACATTCCTGGAGATTTTCTATTTATATTTATTCACACATATTTTAAAAACTATTTATCACATTTTATAAAAATAAAACACTAGCCAGGCATGGTGGCTCATGCCTATAATCCCAGCACTTGGGAGGCTGAGGTTGAAGGATCATTGCAAGACCAGCCTGAGCTACAAAGTGAATTGAAGGCCAACCTGAACTGAATAGTGAGACCCTGCCTCAAATAAATAAATAACTGAAATGAGACTAGAATCCTAAATGTTGTTGTTTCCATTTAATAGGTAGAATAATTAAATTGTTTAATGGATGAGCCAGGTTCAGTCCCCAGTGCATTTTACTCCAAAGCCTATACTCTAATCACTTAAGTTTTTTTACTTTATCAACAGTTACCCAAAAAACAAAAGAAAAAAAGAACCTACATTTTGTTCTGTTTCACATATTTACCCTTCATAAGACTTGCCAATCTTTTGCCAAGTGTAGTGGCACATGCTTATAATAAATCCCCCCAAAAATAAAAAATAAATAAACCCCAGCACATGGAAGCCTAAAGCAAGATTGCCATAAGTTTGAGAGCAGCCTGGGCTACACAGTTAGTTCAAGACCAGCCTGAAATACAGAGCAAGACCCTGTCTCAGAAGCAGAAAAAAATATACTAATATTTCATACACTACACTAACTTCATGTAACAAGCATTACTTCATAGGTGGTATATTTCTTAGCTCTGTGCATTAGTACCTTTTACAAAGTCCTTGCCCATTGAATAGGAATCAGTGGCCTAAGTCCATTTAGCTCCAGGGTGCTGTCATGAGAAGCAAGCGATAGGACTGGTATACTTTTTTGGCAATAATATAATTTCTTGTTTCCTGTACAGTAGTTTCCAAAATTGAGGTGCTCAAGAAGTTGTTTCTACATGCCTGTAATCTCAACATCTGGGACACTGAGACAAAAAAAATCACTGTAAGTTCAAGGCCAACCTGGGATACACAGTGTATTCAAGATCAGCCTGAACTACATAACAACACTGTCTTCTCAAAAAAAAAAAAAAAAAAAAAGAAAGAAAGAAAGAAAAGAAAAAAACAGAAAAAGAAAATTGTTTCTGATATTTAAAGAACCTAAGGGTATGGTGGATAAAGAGAAGAGAACGATGAAAATGTTCAGAGGAGAATTCATTTGGTTAGCCTAGAACAGAAGGGTTCACCAGAGTTAGTAGAGACAACTTGATCACTCAGAAGCACTGAGAGAATTGATGGCCATCAGTTCAACCAGTATTTGATGTGATCAGCTGATAGTCTAAAGAAACTTTAAGTTAAACCCTACCCGTGCCCTTTTTTCTCCACACTTACAGGGGACACTCGAAGACTCCGGACTATTTTGGAAGCAATACAGAAACACATCCATTCTTCCTCCCTCATCTTCAAACTAGCCCAAGATGCATTTAAGATTGCTACTCCCACGGACAATAGTACAGACAGCACCCTGCTCAATGTGGCCCTCGAGCTGGGATTACAGGTATGGGTTAGGGGAGAGCTGTTCCCACGTTAAATTTCTAATGACAACTGGCAAAAGGTAAGATCCCCAGGGGACTGAACACAGGCCAACATTTGACTCCTTCTGTGCTCCCAGAATATGAGTTGTAGGCTAGGCAAAAGGTAAAGACTCTAAATTGGGCTTCAGCTTTAAAAACAAGCAAAATGGCTTTAGGATCCATGGGGATCCCCATCTTCTCTCCATCTTCTTACTCCAAGTTAAGAAAGGTGTAAGAATTTTATTTGGAGCCAGGCATGCCACCACATGCCTGAAATCTCAGCACTCAAGGATATAAAGTAAGAGGATAGCCACAAGCTCGAGTCCAGCCTGAACTACATAGCAAGACCCTGTCTCCATTAAAAAAAAAAAAAAAAAAAAAAAAAAAAAAAAACGTTAACATGTTATCAGTGAACAGGTTATCCTTCCTATCTAATGAAGGAAAAGAGTGGGGAAGATTTTAACCCGGATCATACTTACCAGGAGAAAGATTGCTGTTGAAAGTACCAGCAAATATTTAAATAAATAAATGGCAAGATAAAGTGGGTCTTAATAGTTATGCTCCATCCACTCAGTATGACTTTCATGCCCAGGTGATGCGGATGACCTTGTCAACTCTTAACTGGAGGCGCAGGGAGATGGTGCGATGGTTGGTAACCTGTGCTACTGAAGTGGGTGAGTCCCCCTACGCTCCCCCACACCAGGAGAGTTATAGCCCCAACTGTTCGTCAGGATAATGAATCTTTAGGGCTTTTTAATTCCATTCCTGATGGACTAGGGAAAAATGGAACTGCTGGTAAGAAAAGATGGCCTCTGTTCACTAGCCCAAGCTCTGCTCTTACTGCTAGGACCATATCCTGATGTCAGAGCACTCTGATCAGAGATACATGTGAGAGAATTAATTTCATCCACTGATACTCACATGCTCCCTTGGGAGACAGAATGCCCAGTAGCTTGGTCCCAATCCCTGTCCATATTTCTGAGAAACCCCGGACAACTTGGAGGTTCAGGACCCCTTCTGGAGTCCAGCGCCCCAGGTCAAGACTCAGAGGCCCCACTTCAGCTAGAACCCCCTAGGCAGACCTGCAACCCCTGCCTTGAATCAGACAAATTGCATGCTCTGTTGCTTCATCCTTGTGAGGAGCAAAGAACACTGCAGAGACCTTCAGCACTCTGACTTAGGGCACGTAGGGATGGGAGAGACTCCAAACAGAGTCTGCCCAGCTGGGATGCTCCCCTTGCCTTGGTTTGCCTCAGATCATCTCAAGGCTGCTAAGGAGAGAGAACTCGTCTCTGCAGGCCAAGTTCAGACCCCAAACAATAATCTGGGCAGACCTGGATCGGGACCTGGATGGCCACTGCTGAGCTCAAGCTCTCCCTGACAGGTGTACGGGCCCTCGTGAGCATCTTGCAGAGCTGGTACACACTCTTCACTCCTACTGAGGCTACTAGTATTGTAGCTGCCACTGCTGTATCCCACACCACTATCCTGCGCCTCAGTCTTGACTACCCACAGCGGGAGGAACTGGCCAGCTGTGCTCGCACACTGGCCCTGCAGTGTGCTATGAAGGATCCACAAAGCTGTGCTTTGTCAGCTCTTACACTCTGTGAGAAAGACCACATCGCCTTTGAGGCAGCCTACCAGATTGCCATTGATGCTGCTGCTGGTGGCATGACCCATTCACAGCTGTTCACCATTGCCCGCTACATGGAGCTCCGTGGCTACCCGCTACGTGCCTTCAAGTTGGCTTCACTGGCCATGAGCCATCTGAACTTAGCCTACAACCAGGATACCCACCCAGCCATCAATGATGTGCTCTGGGCTTGTGCCCTTAGCCACTCTCTGGGCAAGAACGAGTTGGCAGCTCTCATTCCTCTGGTGGTGAAGAGTGTACACTGTGCCACAGTGCTTTCAGACATCTTGCGGCGTTGCACAGTGACTGCACCTGGTCTGGCTGGCATTCCAGGCCGCCGAAGCTCTGGAAAGCTCATGTCAACTGACAAAGCTCCATTGCGCCAGCTGCTAGATGCCACCATCAATGCCTACATCAACACTACACATTCACGCTTAACACACATCAGCCCCCGCCACTATGGAGAGTTTATTGAATTTCTGAGCAAGGCTCGGGAGACCTTCCTGCTGCCCCAAGATGGCCACTTGCAATTTGCCCAGTTCATTGACAATCTCAAACAGATTTACAAAGGCAAGAAGAAACTGATGCTACTAGTCCGAGAGCGCTTTGGTTGAAAGAGCAGAGAGCTCACTGCCAGAGCAGCCTGGGCTCCCAGCTACCATCAAGTCAGGCCAAGGACACTGAAACATTTGTCCACCCTGAGAGGACTCTGACCACCTGTGGCTGAGGCCACAGGACCACAGGCTAAGGATGGGGAGAGTCCAACTTTAGCTAATACACCTGCCTTGGCAAGCTTCTCATTACAGCCCACTGTTCTGAAGGAGCTGGGCCCTGCAGATTGACGGGAAATCCCACAACATGCCACCTCATACCCCTATATCCTGTGTGTCCTGGGCACTGGCCCTCTCTCCATTGGCAAACACAGAACACTGTTTCATCTCAGGGATTGCTTAACCAGAGAAACAGAAGCATTTATGATACTGTAAATAGTATAGCAAATGTGTTGCCAATTATTGTAAAGTTGTAACTATTTATAATTCTGATTGATTTGATAGGCACTTAACATAGTTGGGTGGGAGGATAGGCTTGTTGTCTGAGGAGACTCACAACCATTTCTCAGGTTTCCCTTACAGAGTTTATACTGTTGGCAATAGACAAGTGGGGGTAGTGGGAGAAGTGGCCAATTACAATAAATCCCCAAGTCTTGTCTATGCAGAAACCCTAACCTGTATACAGGGCATCCAAAGTCCAGTGATTGATCAGGAGCAGAGGCCAAGACTGGACTTAGATTTCTGCCTCATAAAGTGGTGAGAACACTGAAGCTCCTGTTCCTGCCTCAACAGCTTCTCCAGGAGCCTGCTCAATACTGAATAACAAATACAGGGAAAAGATGAAGGTCAGGGGAGCTACAACTCATAATAGCTATCTGCTCTGATTATTGTCATGTTAGTATATATTTTCATCTCTACTTCCATGTGTGTATATCTGTAAGTACATTTGTCTATGTGCAGATATATACATGTGCCTGTGTCATGTGTGTGTTGGTGTGGGTTTCTGTGTGTTTGCTGTTTCCTTCCCATGATTTCATGGGCACATAGGAATGTGTGGATATATTCATGTTTGTCTGTGTGTATGCCTGCTATCCATCTATCTGTCTATGTATGTGCCCAAGTTATTTCTGCATGTAGGTACATCTGTGTATTCATGTTGGAAGAATGGCGGCATGAAGGTGGCCCTCTTTGCCAGATCTCATTTATCTCATCCTCTCTCACCAGTTAGACTTTTGCGCCCCATCCCTGTGCTTCCACTATTCCCCTTCTTTCTAGTTAGACAAGATTCTAAGCACGTCTCTTGCCCTGAAATTGGATGCTTCAGCTTCACAGCTCTCACCTATACTCACCGTTTTCCCCTGCCTTTCTACCTCAAGCTTCCTGTACCTGCTTTGTCACAGTCCCTTGGATGCTGATTTGGAGGCTGAGGCTGGTATACCTTTGGCCTTTCCCTTCCTAGTTTCTGGCCCTGGTGGGCAACCTGCCTCAGTCCTAGCTGACCTCCACAGTGTCATCATGTCCCTACTACCTTCCTGACCCCTACGCTCAGCCTGAAATTGTTATAGAAGGTAGCAATGGGCACTCAGAAGAGCCAATTGAGTATCAGTGTCTTGGTGTTTACTGTTTTGTGTCTTAGTTCTGGAGTTGGGATAGGGTTTGATAGGAAAGGGGTTGTATAGCTTAGAGTGTGAACTAAGGACTTCTCTGCTTTATTTTCCTCTTTGGCAAACTGTTTATGTCATTTTTCTTTTTTTACTTTAAATTGACCAATATGTTGTATTGCCTACTTGTAGCTACTAAAGTCTTGCTCTAGGGCCCATATAACATCTCAGCCCAGTGAGTTGGTTAAAAAAAAAAAAGCAGCTGCCACTCCCACTTCTGTATTACAAAGGTCCTTTTATAGCAAGTGTGCAAATTCACAGTGATTTTCTATGAATAAATCATGGATCACAGAAAAGATCATTTTTCTAAAAGTAGAAATTGTGTTCTCTCAATAAATGAGGCTCTTTCCCTTCTGTATTGTTCTAACTGAAACAGGTACCTGGTTGGACCTCTAGGGAGATACAGAATAACAGAAGAACTGCCTGATATACCAGGCCACTTTAGAGCTTGTTGCCATCTTAGAGCCTCGTCCTAGGAAATGGAAGTCCCTATGTTGGGCAGAGTCCCAACATGCTAAGAGAACTTCAGGATGTACTCAGAAAAGAATATAGACCAAACCTTAGTGCCAGAGGACCCTTGGGCTTCAGAGGCCTTCCTAGTGTGGACCAGTCAAAGTCTACAATCCTTAGCAACTTAGCTTTGATTCTGTATGTCCTTCCCATCTTCTAGTGTCTAAGTTTTGGTTCCTTACCTTCTCCTTGCTTAACTAGCTTCTACCCACTAACTCCATCTTCTCGAGGACTCTCTGAAGTATTTTAGCCACTTCTGTGCCCCTCTTTGATCTGTACTCCTCTTCTTCCCCAACCCAAAGCCCTATCAATTTGGCCTTTGTAGCCTGTGGGGACCCCACCGCTTTCTCCAACTGTCATTACTCCAATAGTTAGGAAGCCCTGCCTATCCCCTGTGTAGCGTGAAAGTAGTAAGGATCCTAAATCAAGTGCAATGGCACATGTCCACTGATACCTAAGACACTTGTGGTAAAGATGCAAAAGAGGCCCGAGGGAAGGAGCATAGGTTGAAGACTGAGGATAAGGGCACAGAGCTGTACCAAACAAAACCACAAACTAGACTCCAACTCTAGAACTTTATTCTCCTGGAAACACTTTCTGTGTTAGCAGTACTTGAAGGAAAAGTTGTATGCTTAGTTCTTTCGAAGTAGGCGTGAATATCTGTGCACAGCATTCACAAAGGCCCCTACATGTTCTGGGTCCATGTCAGGATAAAGTCCATGGCCTAGGTTGGCAATGTAGCGTTGTGGCCCAAAGTCATCCAGCATCTGCTGCACCAGCTGACTTATCTCCTCCTGAGGACCAACAGGGCACTGTCTATGGAGAAGGTCAGCAAGCCTCTGTCCTTACACATAATAATGACAGACACATACAGGCATGCTTCTACTTGGTGTTAATCTTTAACTCAACAAAATTTATCAGTTACCTTATATGAGCCAACCACTTAAGTAAACACAAGTAAATAACAAAAATTCCTTACTTCCTAGGGTTTAGGGAGGACAAACAGGCAAAATGAAATAAGACACAGAACCATGTAACCATATGCACACTTACAGCAGTGTATAGACAACTTGTACACACATAAGGGCCTCAATTGTTACCTCAGATGCATACAGGGCACAAGGGTCCAGGTTGCCCTGTAAGGTCACCGTCTTCCCCACAAGCTCCCTAGAAACGAGCAGGTGCCACATTCTGATGACTGCATATTTGGCAGCTTCACCCACCTTTCACCTTAAGGGCTATCCCTCCTTCACTCACCGGGCTTTCTTTGGGGCCACTGTCCAGTCAAGCCCAATCACCTCATACCCAGACTGAGCCAGCTCCTCCAGAGCAAAATGCCCATCCTTAGCAAAGATGATCTAGAGGACAGAGCAGATCTCTTATGCAACATAGGACCTAGCTATGCCCCCTTTCTTGGCTGTGCTTCTGCTGCCCTCTCAGTCCATGCAGGACTTAACCCTTAAAGCTCTACACCTTCACTCAACCTATCCCACCCTCACCATGGGCACTGGTGCTAGGCCAGCCTCCTGTAACCCAGCTTTCACTCGCTTGGCCACATCACGGATGTAGGGCAGTGCAAACATGTTGAAAAGCTGTGGGCCAAGATGTCCTGCGTGGGACTCAAAGAGCTGCAATGCCTATATTAAAGATGATGAAAAAAATTACATTAGTAACACAAAGAACAGAGCCAGGAATTTAGCTCATCAACACAAGTACCTGCCTGGCAGATGCGAGGTCATGAGTTCAATTCCCGGTACAAAAAAAAAAAAATCTCAACCTCTTGTACAGTAATGTGTCATTTCCTGAAGTAACTTTAAGCCCTGATACTGCCTGAGCCTTGTTTATACTAGTTCCTTGTTTATACCAGTTCAAAAAGCTTTACCTTCTCTGGACCCCAGGAAACATTCAGAACATTAATTATGAGCCCGTCTGGCAGTGTCAGGGTAGCCTTGGCTACTCTAGCCAGATCTCTGGAGGTCAAGCTAAGTCCTTTGTGCTCTCCAGTTTAGGAGACCCCATCACTTCTGGTCCGTACAGTCCAAATCCCACTTACCTATTTCTCCCACAGGACTTACCTGGGCACCAGCAACCACCTGTCCTATTAGATATGGGACCAGGGCATCAGTGAGTATGCGAAGCAGCTGGTGACTGGCCTGAGGTCTTTGGTAGAGCCACCGCTTGGCCTGAGCCATGGTGCTTGAGCTGCCACCCTCAATCATGTATGTCATCAGGGTCCACTACAGAAAAATATAAGATATCATAATGCAGAAAGCAGACTGACACTTCCTTCCCTTGCTTATATGAGACTTGTCAGAGTGATCTTGTGCCCCAGTCCCTGCCCTGTCCCATATTACTGGGGCACCCGCAAAGCCAATCAGTGGCACACGTCCAGCCAGCTGTTGCCGGGTGAGAGTGATGGCCTGGAACACATAGCCCAGCTCAGAGGCTACTGCTGCTGGATCCCTAAGACGCTCCAGATCCCGTTCTTCTCTTAGTGGCTCTGGGAAGGTGGGTCCTTTGCCAGGTATCATGGTCACTTCCATCCCCAGTGCCTGGAAAGGGATAAAACATTTGGGTTCCCAACCTGGAATTCCAGGAGGAAAGATTCAGCCCATGCCAGGAGGAACGGAAAAGGAGAATAAAACTCCATCTCATTCAGCCTTTGCATTGCCCTCTATCCAGTTAGAGTAAGTGCTGATCTTGAACCTTAGCAAGACAGATAGAATTTCCACACAATCCGGTTTTCAACTTTTCTCATTTCAGGATCAGGTTTAAATGGGTACCTGGGGTACAACAAGGATGTCGGAGAAAATGATGGCAGCATCCAGAGGGAAGCGACGAAGTGGCTGTAGAGAACAGGAAATAAGTTGCTGGGTGGCAAGCTGAGGGAGTAAACCTGGTCCATCTTTTGTGGACCCCTCACCTGCAGAGTCAGTTCACAACAGGCCTCTGGAGAGCGACAGGTGCTGAAAAAGTCCTGGGCAGCCCTGGTTTTCCTAAATTCTGCAGGCAGAGAGGGAAAGCAAAAGTCAGTCCTGAGGTCTGTCAGAGGCCTGGCCTGACACTACAGAACTTTTCATCCTCCAGAGTTTTAAATTCCATCTAGGCTTCCAGGTCTTGTCCCTAACCTGGTAAGTAGCGACCGGCCTGCCGCATACACCAAACGGGAGTATAGTCGGTTTCCTCTCCCCAGGCTGCTCGCAGGAACGTGTCATTCTTCAGCTCTGGGAAACTCTGGGGTCTGGTGATCAGATGGGGGTGAAAATAGATGTCAGTATGCTAGGCTGGAGGTTGGGAAAGGCGCGGATTCAGTCTAGCACCGTTATCTACCCGCTCCAGGCCAGCTCGCCAGCCATGGCTCCCCGCCTGTTCCATCTCTTTTTCTGCCTATCAGATGGTGCAAAGGACTGCAGAAAGTCCGCGCTGGGCCTCTTCCCTATGCATACTCCAACTCTCCCAAACTCAAAGGGACTGGAGAAACTTAGAAGTGAGGGGTAGAAGCCCACTAGGAAAGTTTGCTGGGGTGTCACGGAACTAATGAATCTCAGAAACAGGGCTGCCAATGAGGTAGTTCTAAAGCTGGTTTCTGAGGTTCACAGGGTGGGAAAGAGTCAAAGAGTGATCACAGTTGATGTTCCAGAATAGAAACACCTAGTTAGAAGTTTTGGGGTATCCCTTGAAAGAATGCCTGAGGGATGCAGTCCAACAAGGCAGTCCCTGGAGTGAAGGGCTCAGGAATCCATGGTTGGAAGACTCGGGAGCCCCAGGAACCGAAGTTCGCACCGGGAAAATTTCCGGGAAATAGTGTTATAGGGACAAATTCCTAAGTTGGAAGACAGAAGCCCAGCTACCCATACCGCGAGCAGCAGAGAACTCACCCCTTTCCATTTGCCTCCATGGCAAGCAGTCACTGCAAGTACAATCCTCACTGTAACCTATGTTTGCACCGCCTCCGGTGCAGGCTCCGCCCCATCAGGCCTCAGCGGCGCGGAGTTTAAGCCACGTGACCTGTCGCCCTTGACAGCGCTGGGGCTGCCCAAGCTGCTGCCTGTAGGACCCAAACCACTTTTCACCGTAAAGTTCCCCCTAGCGACGCAAAACAAATGCCTCAAAGGTTAAAAAAAAAATACTCGGTGAAGAATTTGTTCTCGTTTAATGGCTTAGAAACTCTAAATATAGTGCCGTAAGTCCCACTCTCCCTTCCTCTATCCATGATTCTAACAGTTTTATCAAACCAGACACATAGCACATAATGTCACCAGGTTTTACAGGAGGTTGTATTATATTGTACGTTTACATCACCGACTAACAGCCAGGTACACGTGGGAGGGGCAAGGGCTCGTGCTGAGCAAGATCACTCATGGTGCAGAGAGGATCGATCGGGTAGAAGTCACTAGTCTTGGGTCTGGTCGCCTGCGAGGGATGGATGGCGAGTACGGGAGGGGGTGATAACATCGGCGTTTCGAGTACACCGTACAATACGGCATCAGTAGAAGACCTCTGTCCGGAAGCTGCCTTCAGGTCCACCGAGGAAGGGGCGGGGCGGAGAGGGGCGTTGCAGGGATCTAGGGATCTTAGCTTATTCCGCGGTCTGTGTTTGGATTGCACCTGGTAGTGCTCAGCCGCTCAGCCATGGCTGGCCCTGGCCCCGGCGCGGCACTGGAGTCCCCGCGGCGACTGCTGGGTCGCGTGCGCTTCCTGGCGGAGGCCGCGCGAAACCTCCGCGCTGGACGGCCGCTGCCGGCGGCGCTAGCTTTTGTGCCACGAGAAGTGCTCTACAAGCTTTATAAGGACCCTGCCGGACCGTCGCGCGTGCTGCTGCCAGTGTGGGAGGCAGAGGGCCTGGGGCTGCGCGTAGGATCTGCAGGCCCGGCCCCGGGTACCGGTTCCGGGCCCCTACGCGCCGCCCGCGACAGCATTGAGCTGCGGCGCGGCGCTTCTGTGCGCACCACGGGCGAGGAGCTGTGCAACGGCCACGGGCTGTGGGTGAAGCTGACCAAGGTGCGCTCTGGCCCACTGGGACCCCGCCAAAACCCGTCGGGTCCCGGAAGGCCCCCGGCTATTACCCTGCCCAGCCCCACATTGAACTGACATTGCATTCGGTGCCCTTTGCTCTGGGCTGGGCCGGCGAGCCGCTAAGCAGTTCTCTAACAGCTGCCCCCGCCTGACGGGTCCCTGCAGGAGCAGCTGGCAGAACATCTCGGTGACTGTAGCCTCGACGAGGGTTGGTTGCTGGTGTGCCGACCGGCGGAGGGCGGAGCCCGTTTGGTGCCCATCGACACCCCGGACCACTTACAGCGACAGCAGCAGCTCTTCGGCGTGGACTACCGGCCTGTGCTTAGGTCCTGCCCATGAAAGACAGGGCTTGTTGTCAGATTGTCCTGAGGGGTTGGGAACACAGCCTGCACGGGGCAAGAATGAGGGTATTGGAGTGGAGTCAGGGTTAAGAGCACAAAGGGCCTGGAACTGAAGAAAGCTACAAGGGTAAGGCTTCTGGCGACGACTTCAAGGCGAGGAGGTGTGGACTGCTACCAAACTAATGCTACCCCACCCACCTCCCACTCTCCCCACAGATGGGAACAGGTGGTGGACCTGACATATTCACATCGCCTAGGATCTAGGCCTAAGCCTGCCGAGGCATACACAGACGCTGTGCAAAGGCTACTGTAAGTGAGCTGGAATGGGAGGGGAGGAGGCTGCTCCAGAATTTGTCCTAATTAGGGCTTGGGGTTATTTAGCTATGTTCCCCCAACATGGACCTACGAGTGTGATGAGGACCTGATCCACTTCTTGTATGACCACCTGGGCAAGGAGGATGAGAACCTGGGTAGCGTGAAGCAGTATGTGGAGAGCATAGACGTTTCTTCCTACACGGTTAGTACTGAGACTGTCCTGAGGGAGGCCGCGTGTTGTTACTTCCTTAAAGGCTAGCTCCATGTCCAAAGCCAGAGTTGATAGGCCGTTCTTACTTCACCCCCTCCCATTTTGGAAGTCCCGTGGGAACCCTTAGGCACCCCCTTCCTTACTCCCACTCTTCCCCATCTCAGTTACTCTTTGGCCCAACTCCACTATACTTTTTTATTTTTTTGGTACCAAGAATTAAACTGAGAACCCTGCAATTGCCAGGTGGGTACTGTGCTGCTGAGCTATATCCCCAGTCCCACTATGCTTTCTTGCATTCCCTGGCCCAAAGCACATGCTCAGTGCAGAAGTGAAGGAAACTGCTGACTGTACCTTTCTTGTCCCTCCCTAGGAGGAATTCAATGTGTCTTGCCTGACTGACAGCAATGCAGATACCTACTGGGAGAGTGATGGGTCCCAGTGCCAGCACTGGGTACGGCTTACTATGAAGAAGGGCACAATTGTCAAGTGAGTCACAATTGTCAATTGACTCTGGGCAGGTCAGTGGATGAGCCATGTGCTTGTGGGTGCATAGAGACCCAAGTGCACATTCTTACCCCTCAGGAAGCTTCTACTCACAGTGGATACCACAGATGACAACTTTATGCCTAAGCGGGTGGTGGTCTATGGGGGCGAAGGGGACAACCTGAAGAAGCTGAGTGACGTGAGCATTGACGAGTGAGCAAGCTGGCCTGGGGCAGGAGGTGGGGCATGAGCTTAGCAATGTGGACTGGCCCAACTTGGATGCCTAAATTTGAGAGGGATCCCAGCAATCTCTGAACACCTGAGGCAAAAGTATCTGAAGTGCCTCACACCATCTCCTTAGGACCCTGATCGGGGATGTCTGTGTCTTGGAGGACATGACGGTCCACCTCCCAGTCATCGAGATCCGCATCGTGGAGTGCCGAGGTGGGGCTTAAAGCCATAAGAAGAGGAAGGGAGCCTGAAGGTGTAGCTGGGTTCAAGCTGACAGTGAGTGTGGAAAGAAGAGAGTAACAGGCTTAGAGTTAGGGTGAAAGTGGTGGCCGATCTAACTCCAGGATTTGACACTATGGGACCTGAGCTGGGCAGGAGGTGGCACATTTGAGCCTGCCTCAAAGCCATGGAGCTGGTTGGGCTCACCTGGAAAAGGAAAAACAGAGTTGGGACCCTCCCAGCATTATACAGGTGGATAGAGAAACCAGTAAGTAGTATACAAATAATCAGCATTGGGGTAGAATGGCATCCCAAAGTCTCAAGTTTCTAGGGACTGCAAGCTGAGCATTAAGGATTCATTCCCAGGTCTGAGGGCCAAGAAGGCACTGGTACCGTAAATGACCTCCATTTTACTGTAAATGACCTCCATTTTACTTTTCCAAAAGATGATGGGATTGATGTTCGTCTTCGAGGAGTCAAGATCAAGTCATCTAGACAGCGGGAACTAGGGTTGAATGCTGACCTCTTTCAGCCAGCCAGCCTGGTGCGATATCCACGCCTAGAGGGCACTGACCCTGAAGTACTATACCGCAGAGCTGTTCTCCTGCAGAGGTAGCTGTGGCCATGGGCCTGCAGGCCCCTCCCTTCCCTGAGTGTTGTGTGTCTGCTTGGATGAGAGCCCAGGGTATTATTGTATAAGTTGTTCTGCTTCAAAGAGCAGCCTCCAGGCCCTGCCTGCTGTCCCTGGGTATTGAGGAGTTGGGAATCTTACACCCATGCCAAAGACTTTAGCTACAGATATCTTTACCACCCTAGATTCATCAAGATCCTAGACAGTGTCCTGCGTCACCTGGTACCTGCATGGGACCACACATTGGGCACCTTCAGTGAGATTAAGGTGAGCCTGACAAACCCAGTGCTAGTCAATGGGCTTCTACTTCAGCAGACAGTTCTGAAAACCTGCCCTAAGGCCGGACCTTTTCTGATTCTGGGAACCAAGAAAGCCAGACAAAAATGGTCAAAGTACAGTGTTTGGAGTGTTCTTCCTTAGATGAATGTGTGGAATACAGGAGGGTTAAGGCAGGAAAGTGACATCATGGGAAGAAACTCAAGGATAGGGTGCATACCAGGTGCTACATGACTGAGGACAGCAGAAAAGTAGGTAATGATACAGATAAGGCAGGAAGCAGGATTTAATACTCACAGGCTCTGAGTATCAGGCTATGGGAGCAGGGACTTTGTCCTAGTCAGTGGAGCCACTGGAAAATTTGTAAGAATGACAATGACAGAATTTTTTTGTTTTGGAAAGTTCCCCCTCCCCAAGCTAGGCATCGTGGCACATGTCTATAATCTTAGCTCTGGGGCGTGTGAGGCAAGAAGCCTGGGCTTCCTTGTGAGTCCTCTGCTAGCCAGAACTGTATAGGGAGACTCAGTGAATCAGGCAATCAGTCTGAATGCTCCCCCTAGTGGTTGAATTGAGGAAGGAACTGAAAGAGCAAGGATGGAATGGGCTAGGTTTGGGCTGGAATGGTGAATTTGGGTCTGAGCATAGAGGAAGGTTTCAGGGCTTGACAGAAGCTGACTGCCTGCTGAGTCTGCTCTGGCCACATCTCACTAGCAAGTGAAGCAGTTCTTACTGCTGTCACGCCAACGGCCCAGCCTGGTGGCCCAGTGTCTGCGAGACTCAGAGAGCAGCAAGCCTAGCTTCATGCCACGCCTGTACATCAACCGACGCCTTGCCATGGAACACCGTGCCTGCCCCTCTCGGGACCCTGCCTGCAAGAATGCTGTATTCACTCAGGTTTGGAGCACCTGGGCTTGGACCGAGGGAGGTCCCTGGACAAGAGTAGGCCCAGGTTTGACACATCCTTCCCTGTCTCCAGGTTTATGAAGGGCTCAAGCCCTCTGACAAGTATGAAAAGCCCCTGGACTACAGGTATGGCACAAGGGGAGGGGACTTGCTCAAGGCACAAATGTACGTACCTCACCCACATACTACTTCTATCACCCTCCACCATTACCATTTGTAACTCATCTCCTGGCTGATCCCTGGCCTGGTTAATCAGCCTAAGTTCTGACACAGGCTGATGACAGAGGTCTGCTCCTTACAGGTGGCCCATGCGCTATGACCAGTGGTGGGAGTGTAAATTCATAGCTGAAGGCATCATTGACCAAGGTGAGGCCCCAGTAGAGCATAAAAAGAATCCTCCATTAGTGTCTGAGACTTTTCTGGGCTTACTACCTAATGAAGATAAGAGAATGCTTATTGCCCTATTGTAGAGGCTGAACTGTCTTGTGACTAGCTAGGGGAATCTGTTGTTTCAGGGGGTGGTTTCCGGGATAGCCTGGCAGATATGTCAGAAGAGTTGTGCCCCAGCTCAGCTGACACTCCTGTGCCTCTGCCCTTCTTTGTACGCACAGCCAATCAGGTAATCTCCCATCTCCTACCCTTTACCTCTGCCAAAGTTTCTGCTAACCCGTCTCTAAAGCTCCCAGCGAGCACACGGGGACCTTGGGAGGGAATACGGAAGGGACCAAGGCATCTAGGGCAGCATTGGGCAGACAAGGAAAGGAGGAACGTTGGTACTTTTGGTGGGTCCTGCAAGGGTCCTTGTCGAAGATCTTGGGGAAAGTCTTTGGGATGCTTAGGGCAGGAAAGTAGAGTCCATCTTATGCCATGCTGACAGCTTTATCTCTGGGACAGGGCAATGGCACTGGTGAGGCCCGAGACATGTATGTGCCCAACCCCTCCTGTCGAGACTTTGCCAAGTATGAGTGGATAGGACAGCTGATGGGGGCTGCCCTCCGGGGTAAGGAGTTCCTGGTGAGTAGCCCGATCTGTACCCCTGTCAGGTCAGCCTTGGTCCCTGGCAGCTCAGGCTGAGAGGACAGTGGTGTGTGTGTGTCACACAGGTCCTTGCACTTCCCGGCTTTGTGTGGAAGCAGCTGTCTGGGGAGGAGGTGAGCTGGAGCAAGGACTTCCCTGCTGTGGATTCTGTGCTGGTGAGTCAGGCTGGAGTCAGGGTTTCCTCTGCCAGCTGTCAGTAGTCAGTACTCCCCAAGGCTTCCCCGCACTTCTTTACTACACTCATGCTCCCTCTGATCCTGTCTGTGCTCATGGTCTCAGATGCTAGCTCTGTTCTATGAACTCCTACACTCCTGACTGCTGGGCTCAGCCTTTTTCCCCAAGTCTAGGACCACACAGGTGTAAGCCTCCAGCTCATCACACTCTCCATCCTCTCCCTGTCCACTCAAGGGCTCCCTGCTTAGAGCTGCACCTTCACCCAACCCTCACTGTGCCAGAGCTCCCAGCATCACCCTGCACTCCTCCTCCTTCCCCACGCCACACATTTTGCCATGCATCTCTATGCTCCTGTCTTACCACTGTTTCCCTGGTTCAGACCACCTTTCTTTCTGTCCTAACCACTTATTGCCAAAGCTACCATCCTTGTCTCCATTCTTGCCCTTCTGATCTCCAAGCTGCCACAGTAATTTATTTTGCTCTCATTTTGTTTAATGGCTTTGCCTTGGACTTAGGATAATGCAGACCCTGTAAAGACTCCTGTATTGACCTAAGTGTCCATTTCCACTTGGTACATATTCAGGTTTCAGCCAAACAGAGTTCTTATGCCTTTTGAGCTTCTTTTCTTTTCTTCTCTTTTCTTTGCTTTTCTTTTTTTTTTAGATAATATCTCACTATGCTATGCAGGCTGGCCTAGAACTCACAGTGATCCTCCTGCCTCAGCTTCCTTGGTGCTGGGATTACAGGCATGCATCATGCATGGCAAACCTTTTGCTTATTAATCTTCCTTTAAGACACACTCTTGATTTCCCTTATGGCCCAGCCAAGTCTCAAATCAGATGCCATTTCCTATAAGATGATGCCTTCCTGGCCACTAATGCTGGTTAGCTGTGGTCTTGATGCTTCCATAGCCTGGTAGTTGCCCCTCATACCCTTTTGCCTGTGTGCCTCCCTGCTTCCTTGTGAGCATCTTGAGGAAAGACAGAGACCCTCCCCAATGAAACTGAGCTTCCTACCTCTGACTTACCCACAGGTGAAGCTCCTGGAAGTAATGGAAGGAATGGACAAGGAGACATTTGAGTTCAAGTTTGGGAAGGAGCTAACATTCACCACTGTGCTCAGTGACCAGCAGGTGGTGGAGCTGATTCCTGGGGGCACAGGCATCATAGTGAAATATGAGGACCGGTCTCGTTTCATCCAACTGGTACAGAAGGCACGGCTAGAGGAGAGCAAGGAGCAGGTAGCAGCCAGAGCTGAGCCTCTTGAACCATTTGCCCCCACCCTCACATGCCCCACCGTCCTGCCAAGCAGTGGGTACCAAGATACTCCAGTAGAAGCTAAGAATAGTATCTTCCCTTAGCTGGGCCATTTTTTTTCTTCTGCAGATGGCAGCCATGCAGGCAGGTCTGCTGAAGGTCATACCACAAGCTGTGCTGGACTTGCTGACCTGGCAAGAGCTGGAAAAGAAGGTGTGTGGGGACCCAGAGGTCACTGTGGATGCCCTGCGCAAGCTCAGTAAGTTCCAGGCTGTGGAGTGGGGAAGTGCAGAGGAGAGGGTTTCAGGACTGGGCCTAGTAAGACCTAAAAATGAACTCTGGCTTTGACTCCTTCAGCTCGATTTGAGGACTTCGAGCCCTCTGACACACGAGTACAGTATTTCTGGGAGGCACTAAACAATTTCACCAACGGTCAGTAAAAGGGAACAGAGTGATGCTTGGTTCAAACTCATCCTGTGGGATGCAGAGGCTGGGCAAAAGTGATAAAGCCTCCCACACCATCAGCAAGGGCTCATCTCCTTCTCTCCACAGAGGACCGCAGCCGTTTCCTGCGTTTTGTGACAGGCCGCAGCCGCCTACCAGCTAGGATCTACATCTACCCAGACAAGCTGGGGTGAGTGCCTGTGCAGGGGGGAGAACCTGTGGCACCCCACACACACATGCCCCTAGAGTTCTTCCTCATCTGTGGCCCTCAATTCCTCCAGCTATGAGACCACAGATGCGCTGCCTGAGTCTTCCACCTGCTCCAGCACCCTCTTCCTGCCACACTACGTCAGGTGGGTTTTCCCAGGCCCAGCCTAGAGCTGGCATCCTTGTTGTAAGAATACTTCCAGCAGTGAAGTGCAGGACTGGAATCCCCTCACCCTTTAGGGTGCTAGGAAGGTCTGACCTAGCCCTTCCTCTGCAGCGCCAAGGTGTGCGAGGAGAAACTCCGCTATGCTGCCTACAACTGTGTGGCCATCGACACCGACATGAGCCCCTGGGAAGAGTGAGGTGCCCTGCACAGCTCCACTGCCCTTTCCTGGGCAGATACACCACACCTTCCCTGCTTGGCTCAGGTTTGTGCTCTGCACCAGAACTGACATATCTAGGAAATGGGTAGTGCCTGCTCCTCTATGTGGCTGGAGTAGGGGTGGTGAGTTGACACTGGGGTTCGACCCACAGACCCACAAGTTCTCCTCATCCCAGAGCTTGCTTGCGGATGTTTAGTTCTGCCAGAAGGAATCTTCCCCAAGCCCTGCACAACCTACCAGACCTGAGCTACTTGAAGGGAGATACTCAAGTTCTCACTCCGTGGAATTTGCCTCCTTTTTCCATTCTACCTATTTTTTCTTTTCCTGGCTTCTACCATGACTCGATATTTTTAAAACTTTGGAAGATGGTATATGCCCCTTCCCCAAGCAAAGAGTCAGGGACAGACAGGGAGTAATGTTTATTTGCCTTGGTCACATACCCTAAGAATGGAGCCACAGTGAACATCTATTGTCTCAGATATTAGTCTTTTCTCCTTTCCCTCCATATCAGAGGTGTGAGCTTTTTCCTTCCTCCAACCCAGTCTCAACTGATACAGTGCCACCACCTTCCCTGGCTCCGAACCTACAGCCATTCAACATTCGTTACTGCCACCCCATGCCTGTCACTTCTACATCACTTCCAGCCTGATTCTCCATCTGCTGTTTACCCTCAAGATTTGCACAGATCAGGGATGATTATGTCCTCTCCAAAATCTTCAATGGCTTCCCTGGCCATACTCTAAAATAAAATGTAGACTTTTAAAATTGCCTCCAGGGCTTTCACATCCCTGCCCCAGTCCTCCTTCCCTTGATGGCCTCTGTAACATTCCTTCAGAAGGTCTTGTACATGGGAAATTGAATAAATGGATACCCTAGTACCTTCAGTATGGGTCTGTTTGGTGTTTTGGCTCCCAAGGTATGTGTTTATTGGCTCTTGGCTAGGTTCATGGGGGTGCCTACAGTATTGCTGTGTCCTGACAGAGCATTTCTTTATTTTTTTTCAAATACATTTTATTCAAAGATAAACAAAGGGAAGAAGAAAAAAACTACAATAAAATTTCCAAGCACATCAATCAGGGGACAATACATTACTCATTGTCATCCCCAAATCATTCACCCAGAACACAAGAAATCTGCATTCTATTGTTCTAATAATACCAGTACAAATCTTTCTCTTAAGCAAATTAGAGGAATCAACAGTATGACTATCTTAACTATCTTTTATATACGTGTACATTTACATTTTTTATTTTAGCTTGTCACACTAATGAAAATATGTTTACACATGTGTCTCATGTATTTCACTAATGAGTATTTTCTCAGGCTACATCCATTTACCTATAAAAGTGTACAGTTTTTATTATTCCTTTATGGCTGAGTAGTACTCCATTCTATAAAAATACCACATCTTTTTTATCCATCCCTCAGTTGACAGGCATTAGGTTGTTTCCAAGATCTGGCTATCATAAACTGTGCTGCTGTAAACACAGGTGCACATATATCACTGTGGTATGATGTTTTTAATTTTATTGAAAAGTTACCCAGAGAGGAATAGCTGGCTTGAATGGGACCTCCAATCCTGGCTTTTAAGGGATCTCCACACATTTCCACAGTGTTTGCACCAGTCTGCATTCCCACCAATAGTGAAAAATGGTTCTTGTTTCCCCACTGCCCCTCCTATATTTGTTATTGCTTGATTTCTTGATACTAGTCATTCTTTCTGGGGTAAGGTGAAATATCAGTGTTTTAATTTGCATCTCTCAAATGATCAGTAATGTTAAGCAGTTTTTAACATATTTATTTGCTATTTCTTTATCTTTATCTGAGAAGTGCATATTCATCTCAGATGCCCATTTTTGGATTGAGTCTTTAAATCTGGGAAGATTACCCCCCCCCCAAAAAAAAAAAAAAAAAGATTTAAAGGGCCAGAGATTTGGCTCAGCAGCATAAGCGCCTGCCTGGCAGGCATGAGGTCCTGAGTTCGATCCCGAGTACCAAATAAATAAATAAATAAATCTGGGAGGACTGGTTTTTTTTTTTTTTTTTTTAGTTCTTTATATATTCTTGATAGTAATCCTTTGTCTGAGAAAGAGCTGGCAAACATTTTCTCCCACATTGTGGGTTGTCTCTTCAACCTGTTGGTTTCTCTTGCTGTGCAAAAGATTTTTAGAAGAGTGAGACCCCAGTGGTTGATTCTTTGTGATAGTTTTCTGTGCAATTGTGGATTTTGTTCATAAAGTCTTTGCCTACACCAATGTCTTCAAGAGTTTTACCTACTCTTATCTTCCAGCAGATTTAATGTTTCTGTTTTAATATTAAGATCTTTTATCCATTCTGATTTTAGCTTAGTACATAGTGAAAGATGTGAGTCCAGTTTTAATCTTCAGTATGTGGAGAGCCAGTACACATAGAGCATTTATTAGCGGCTTTCTTCCAATGAATGTGTTTGGCACCTTTGTCAAAGATAAGGTGACTTGGTGTGTCTGTAGGTGTTTTTTGCATCTTCTAATCTATTCCATTGACTTTGGGTCTTTTTTTTTTTTCCAGTACCACACTGTTTTTATCACAGTAGCTTTATAGTATAATTTCAAGTCAGGGATTGGGATGCCCTCTGTCTTTGTCTTGTTACCCAGGATTGGCTTTGCTATTATAGGTCTCTTCTGGTTCCAGATGAGTTTAGGATTGTTTTCTCTAATTCTGGGAGATATGCTACTGGAATTTCAATTGGGATTGCATTGAATCTGTATAACAGTTTTGGAAATACAGCCATTTTCACTATGTTGGTTCTTCCTACCCAAGACCACAGGACATCTCTCTATTTTTTAATATTCTCATCAGTCTCCTTTTTCAGAGTACTGCAGTTTTCAATGTAGAGATCTTTTACATCCTTCGTTAAATTGATTCCTAGGTATTTCATTTTTCTGGATGCTATAGTAAAAGATATTGTTTCCCTGATTTCTCTCTCAGTGAGTTTGTCATTTGTGTGCAAGAAGGCTATTGATTGTTGAGTATTGACTTTGTATCCAGCTATGCTTCTGAATTTGGTTCTTAAACCTAGAAGTCTTTTGGTGGTGAAGTTTATAAGGTCTTACATGCAGAGTATCTTGTTATCTGTGAATAATGATAATTGAACTTCTTCCTTTCCTAGCATTATTCCTTTTATTTCTCTCTCTCATCTAATTGCTCTGGCTAAAGTTTCCAGAACTATTATTGAATAGGAGTGGTGGTAGTGGACATCCTTGTCTTATTTCTGATTTTAGAGTGAAAGCTTTCAGTTTTTGTCCATTGAGTATGATGTTGGATGTTGTTGTGTCAGATTGAGAGAAAGACCATCTATTCCAATTTTCTGTAGAGTTTTTATCATGAATGGATGTTGGACTTTGTCAAAAGCTTTTTCTGCATCTATTGAGATAATCATATGATTTTTGTCCTTGGCTCTGTAAATATAGTGTATTACAGTTATGGATTTACATATGTTGAATCATCATTGCATCCCTGGGATGAATCCCACTTAATCATGGTGTACAATCTTTTTGATGATTTGCTTCAGTCTGTTTGCCAGTATCTTATTGAAGATTTTTGCATCAATTTTCATTACAGAGATTGGCCTGTAATTCTCTTTCTTAGTTGGATCCTTCTCTGGTTTTGGAATCAGAGTAATGGTTGTTTCCGGAATGAATTTGAGAGCACTGCTTCCCTTTCAATTTCATGAAAGAGTAAAAAGTAGTGGTGTTAGGTTTTCTCTAAATTTCTTGTAGAATTAAACAGTGAATCCATGAGGGTGTGGGCTTTTCTTTATTGATAGGTTTTTAAATACATCTTTGATTTCACTTATTTGTATTGGGTTATTTAGGATTTTTATCTCCTTGATTCAGCTTTGGTAATTCATGTGTATCTAGGAATCTGCCCATTTCTTCTGTATTTTCTCTCTCTTTTTTTTTTTTTTGGTACCGGGGATTGAACTCACTATCTCACACTTGCCAGGCAGGCACTTAAGCCACTGAGCTAAATCCCAGGCCCTTGTATTTTCCATCTTGTTAGAATACAGGTTTTCAAAGTAGGAGTAGATGATTTTCTGGATTTCTGCACGTTCCATTATGATTTTACCCTTTTCATTCCTAATTGTGTGAATTTGAGTCTTTTCTTTCCTTTTTTTGGTAAGGTTGGCTAAGGGTTTGTCAATTTTATTTAATCTTTCGAAGAACCAACTCTCAGATTCATTGATTCATTGTATTGTTTTTTTAGTCTCTGGTGTGTTCATTTCTACTCTGATCTTTATAATATCCTCCCTTGTACGAGATTTTGGCTTAGCCTGCTCTTCTTTTTCTAGAAGTCTGAGGTTCAACATTAAGTTGTTTATATGCACTTACTCTGTTTTCCTGATATGAGCATTTACTGCTATTAATTTCCCTCTTAAGACTGCTTTCATTGTGTTCCACAAGTTCTGGTATGTTATATTGTCACTATCATTCAACTGTAAAACTGTTCTTTAATTTCATCTATCCCATTGGTTTTTCAATAGGGTGCTATTTAATTTCTGTGTGTTTATGAAGTTCTTGTGGGTTCCTTTGGCATGGATTTTCAATTTCATTGCACTGTGGTCTGATATGCATATGATATGCATAGGATAGTTTCGATTCCTTTGCATTTACTTAAGCATGTTCTATGAGCCAGTATATGATCTGTTTGGAGAACATCCCATGTGCCGTTGAGAAGAATGTATATTTATCTGTTGTGGGGTGAAACACTGTATGACATCCACTAAGTCTATTTGTTTAAAAGTTTGATTTAGTTCTAATATTTCATTGTTAATTTTTTCTTTTCTTTTTTTTTTTTTGTCTTTTTTATCGGTACCGGGGATCAAACTCACGACTGCCTGCTTGCAAGGCAGGCGCTTATGCCGCTGAGCTAAATCCCCAGCCCCTTTGTTATCTTTTTTGTGATAGTGGGTTATTGAGGTTTCCCAATTCAATTGTATTAGGGCTTAATTTGATTTTTCATGTCTGTTAGTAATTATTTTATATAGCTGGGTACCCTGGTATTTGTTGCATCTATGTTTATGATTGTTATTTGCTCCTCTTGGATTGTTCCCTTTATGAGTATGTAGTCACCTTCTTTATCTCTCTTAATCAGCCTTGGCTTAAAATTCACTTTGTCCAGACTGTCCCTTGCACACGGGTGGAGAAGCAGCGCATCTGTGTGCGGGTGGGAGACATCCCTGCCCTCTCCGCAGAATTGGGCCGTGACGACTTTTGTGGCCTCCATCATCCCCTCATCCCCTCAACTATCTGCTCTAGGCGAGAAGGGCAGCTTGAGTCAAGTGGCCCAAGCTGAGGGTGCAGCTCAGAGTGGCGAGGATGATGTTGAGAGTGGGGGTAACGATGGCCTCAGCAGGGTGGGAAGGTGAAAGGTAGTCGGATCAAACTCGGAGATGTAATACCACACAATATCAAACAGTTGAAGAGGTTAAACCAGGTCATCTTTCCAGTCAGCTATAATGACAAGTTCCACAAGGGCGTGCTGGGGAGGGGGGGTAGCAAAACTTGCCTGTTTCAATGATATTGCTATAGGTGCAGTATGCTGCAGGGTGGATCATTCACAGAATCAGAAGAGACTACATCATGACCCTAGGATGTCTGGCACCTTAGCGAAGGCTAGAAATGGGAACTAAAATGTTAAATCATGTCTTAAACATCCGTGAGAAAGATGGCACTTTGGACAATGTCTATCTGCATGTCCAGATAAGCAATGAGTCAGCAATCAACTTCTACAGGAAGTTTGGCTTTGAGATTATTGAGACAAAGAACTACTATAAGAGAATAGAACCTGCTGATGCGCATGTGCTTTAGAAAAACCTCAGAGTCCCTTCTGGTCAGAATGCAGA